ATTTGAGTTGGTATCAAGATAGAACAGAGGGGCTGGTGAGATGGCTCAGTGGTCTAAAGCACCTATTTGAACAAGCTTAGCAAAGTAAAGGGACCACGGTTCAATCCCCCAGCACCACATGCCAGCCAGCCAGCCAGCTGCGCCCTCTGGTGGCCTGAGCTGGCCACACACACACACACACACACAAATAAATAAATAAATAAAAAGATAGAACAGAGTAAGTCCTGGGTTCCTTATTTTATGTAAGCCTCACACAATCTCCCCCCCCCCACAGTCTTGAATGTGATAACATCCTCATTGTATAGATAACAGATCATAAGAAATAACTAGAACCAAAATGTATTTTTTATCGTTTCTTTTTTTTTTTTAAATGTATTTGGTACAGGGTCTCACTATGCAGTTTGGACTCTCAGTGATCCTCCTCTGTTCAGCCTCCCCAGCGCAGGATTATAAGCAGTTTGTGTCACCATGCCAATTCTCTCTGACTCAGTGCTCTTGAGGGCAGGGCTGGCGCAGCATATGGTGCTGGGGCTCAAACCTGTTCCCTGTACTTTGTTTTATCATTCTTTTCTATTTTCCCATGTAAAGTTTTAGGGAAGATAGTAAGAAATAGGAACCATGTTATAGACAGGATGGTAGACAAAAAAATTTCATAGTTGAGAACACATTAAAAATTTACAGAAAGGGATGATAGTTAACAGAACAGTGTTTTAAGAAAATCAACCAGATGTGAAGGCCTGGGTTCAATACCTTATCACTAAGGAAAAGAAAGAAAATTAACCTGGCGTTGGCATGTACATTTAATCTTACCAACTGAGGATAGGATATATTCTTTGTGACTGAGGCCAGGGAGATGGCTCAGTAGAATAAGTGCTTGCCTGGGAAGCACAAGGGCCTGAGTTCAATCTCTGGTTCCATTAAAAAAAAATCTGTGACTAATGGATTGTTTTTTAACATGTGGAGTTTGTAGAACATTCCTCTTTGTTTTTCAGGGTTTCCTGGGAGAGGAGGTCAGGCAGACAGACAGGGTCTTCTATGAAGCTCAGGCTGGCCTAGAGCTCATTTTATAGTCCTAGTTGGTCAGGAGCTCCCAGTGATCCGCCTCCCTCGGCCTCCAGAGTTGTTGGGATTACAGGTGTGCTCCATACCCATCTATATTTTAAGAGTTTAGCTAGCTGTCCTTTGTAAGGTAATACAGAATTAAACTACAAGCTGTCAGGCCAGGTATGGTGATGCACCCCTGTAATCTCAGCACTGTGGGAGGCTGAGGCAGGAGGATCATTGTGAGTTCTAGACCAGCCAGGGCTACAATGTAAGCTCAAGTGAACTGGACTGCATAGTGAGACCCTGTCTGAAAAAGACAAAAAGAAGGGGCCAGGCAGATGGCTCAGTGGAATAAGCACTTCTCTGGCAAGTGCAAGGGCCTGAGTTCAATCCCCGGTTCCGCAAAAAAAAAAAAAAAAAAAAAAAAAAAGACGAAAACCAAAAACTCTATAAGCTGTCTTTAGTAAAATGGCATGTAGGTTTTTTAGATGATTTTTTTTTAATTTTATTTATGCGTGTGTGTGTGTGTGTGTGTGTGTGTGTGTGGCCAGCTCAGTCCACCAGGGGGTGGGGCCGGCTGGCATGTGGTGCTGGGGGATTGAACTGTGGTCCCTGTGCTCTGCAAAGCTTGGTCTAAGTAGGTGCTTTAGACCACTGAGCCATCTCACCAGCCCGGTTTTTTAGATGATTAATGTACATTTTAAATAGGAATTTTGAGTTAATTAGCATTCAGTAGAATACACTCATCTTAACTATTAACCCTAACAATGTAAGCATTATGGAACCATCGTCACAATTAAATCCCCTAAAAACTTTTTTTTTGGGGGGTTACTGGGGATCAAACTTAGGACCTTGCACTACGTGCTTATGCTACTGAGCTAAATCCACAGCCCCATCTTTTTTTATTGAGGTATGATTTACATGCTGTTACATTCACTCTTTTTACTGAGTAGTTTTTTTTTTTTTGTTTTTTTTTGCAGAACGGGGGATACTGGGCAGTTTTTAATTTTGTTAAGCTCATATAGTTAGATAACAGTCATTAAAATCCAGATAAACAGTTAAACCTTTTTTCATGCCTTTTATCATCGAATACCATATCCCCACGAGTTTTTAGAAGTATGTGATATCAGAAAATGAATTCTGTACAAGTGTAATAAATTCATTGCTTGTTTTTAAGGATATTGAAGAATACGTTTTTCTAAGATAGATCTCACTATGTATTGCCTTCGGAGCTTGAACTCATTATGTATCCTAGGCCTCATTATGTATTCTAGGCTGTTCTTGAATTAGTGGCAATTTCCTGGTTCAAGTATTGGTGTTACAGGTTTGTACCACCATGCCCAGCTTTTTTAAGACAAGGTCTCACTGTACAGTTCAGGCTGGCCTTGAATGTGTGATGGTCTTAAATGCTGGGATTATAGGCATGTGCTGCTTTTTTAAAAGTTATGTTGATATGTTATTTAAGTTACTGATTGTTCCTTTAAGCCTTGCTCTGTAATTTTAAATTTAATTTTATTTTTAAATAATAAACTCAAGGCCTTGAATGTGTTAGTTACATGTTTTACACTGAGCCACATCTCCAGCCCCACAGTAGTTTTATTTAGCTGCTTCATGGCTTAGTTCACTAAAAGGATAGAGGCATCCCCGTAACTTCTATTGAAATATTTTTTGTCTGAATTTTTTTTTTTTTTTTTTTTTTGGTGATCCTAGGGATTAAATCCTTCACCTTTCACCTGGACTACATTCCAAGTTCTTTATTTTCTTAGGTTTGTTTTGTTTTTGTTTTTGTTTTGCTTTTATCCGGAACCTGGGATTGAACTCAGGCAGGCCCTTGTGCTTGCCTGGCAAGTGCTTATTCTACTGAGCTGACTCCCCAGCCCCTCCAGTTCTTTCTTGTTCTTTAACATGTTCGTGGGGATGGAGAAATGGCTCAGTAGAATAAGTGCTTCCCTGGCAAGCTCAAGGGCCTGAGTTAATCCCCAGTTCTCCCAAAAAAAAAAAAGAAAAAAAGAAAGGAAAAAAAAAAATTCTGTGGGGGCGGAGGTCATTCTTTCCTGTCACTGCCAGGAAGCCTCAACAAGTGGTAATAACATGAATAACTCATCAGACAGCTTTTTATTTATTACTTAGTAAAAAAAGGCCAGTAAACGTGACTAGATTCATTTGTGCCACCAGTGGTAGAAATCATGATGTCATGGTTTGTCATGGATGTGCCACTGGTGGAGATATGTTGAGTGTGTCTGAAATTCTCCCCCTGATATGAAAATATCTCGATTGTTACCTCCATTTTTGGATGGTTTTTTTTTTTTTTTTTTTTTTTCAAGTATGAGGATTGAACCTAGGGTTTCAGGTATGCTAGACAAAACAGCCTGCTTACCACTTATCTACATTCCCAGCTCTGTTACCCTCTTTAAAAGCAACAACAACTAGATGTGTGATAGACCTCTGTAAGTCTAGCACTCAAGAGTCTGAGGCAGGATTATTGTTTGGAGTTCAAGGGCAGCCTGGGCTACATAGCAGCTTGAAGTACAAAGTGAGACCCAGACGCAAAACAAGAGGCAAACATATGCTTTCTTTCTTTTTTTTTTTTTTTAATTTATTTATTGTGTGTGTGTGTGTGTGTGTGTGTGGCCAGCTCAGCCCACCAGGGGGCGCGGCTGCCTGGCATGTGGTGCTGGGGGATTGAACTGCGGTCCCTGTGCTTTGCTGAGCTTGCTTTAAGTAGGTGCTTTAGACCACTGAGCCATCTCACCAGCCCCAACATATGCTTTCTAATGATCTATTGTCTTATAACTGTTACTTTTGTTCTTCTCACTAATAAGATCTTAAATAAAAGATGATAAGTATTGTTTCCCTGGCTCCTGCATGGGTTCTCTATAGCCCTTTATAATCTTGATTCTTCATATTTCACTACAGAAACTATGCTCTGAAAAATTACGAAAGGCTTTAATCAACAACTACACTTACTCTTTTTTGAAACTTAAAGGTACTTTAAAAGTCACTTTATTCTATCCTGTTCTAATAGTTTTTCTATAATTAATAGCTGGTTTATTTGTTTTTTTGCCCTTTCTATGGCTTTGAAAGGCAGAAATGAAAATGACTTGTTAAAAAAGAAAATTACAGGTCTTTAGCAGGTTTGTAGTTGTGTATTTCACTCCTAATTGAAGTGTAAAGTGATGGTTCTGCATCATTTGTTAGGGTTCAATTTCCTTTGCTTTAAAATACTCTTAACACAAGGTGGGGCTTACTAGTACATGCCTTTAGTCTCAGCTACTCACAAGGCTGAGGCAAAAGGATCGTAAGTCCAAGGTCAGGCTGAGCAATTTAATGAGACCTTGTTTCAACATAAAAAACAAGAGCTGGGCATGATGGTGCATACCTATAATCCCCGTATTTGGAAGGCTGAGGCATGAAGATTGCCATAAGTTTTAGGCCAGACTGGGCTACATAGTAAATTCAAGGCTAACCTGAACTACATAGGGAGATCCTATCTCAAAACAAAATTCAAACACTTATGTCCTATCAGTTAGCTATATCAGAATTTCCTTTAATGAAATGGGAAGGGAAATCTTCCACTTTATTTTTTAGATGGGGACTAAAGCATGACAAATTGGCAGAGCTCTCAGTAGGCTCTTTTATTTACTATCTTTGACATTTGCAAGGTCCTGTTTTTTGGTTTATATTTATAGGGTATATAAACTACTGGATATTGTGCTTTACAACAAAGCACAGAGTCGTGGAATAGAAATAAGAATGGGAAAGTTCTCATTCCTTAGTAGAAATAAGAATGAGAAAATCAGAATTTACAAATAACTGGAATAGGTTTGATTTTGTTGGTTTTTTTTTTTTTTTTAAGTTTAAGCTGTTTTATTACAGACCATTAAAGTGATAAATAATTTTGTTTGTTTTGTTTAGCTTGTCAGCTCACTTGCAACTTACATTTACTGGTTTCTTCCACAAAAACGGTATGTATTAAAGTAAATATTTTGACATTTTAATAGCAAAATACCACTATGAGTGTAAAAGAGAGGTATATTTAGGGTGTAAATTTATAAAATTATAATTAATGTTACATGTTTTTTCTTACTATTTTTACCATGTTTTGCTTGTGTGTGTGTTAAGCTGGTCATTGAATTCAGGGTTTTGTACAACCTAGTCAAGCATTCTTGGAACACCCACCTCTGCTCTCTGATAATGTTTTTGAAGTTCAAGTTACAGAGGTTAATGATAAAGTTAAGTGCCATAGAGCTGGGGCAGGTGATTAATTTTCAGTATGTTTCTTTCTGCATAAACAATTTTTTGGCAGGGTACCAAGAATTGAACTCAAGAACTTGTGCTTGCCAGACAGGTGCTGTGCTACTGAGCTATATCCCTGCCCACCTACATAAACATTTAGAGTTAATTGTTACAGCATACTTTTTTTAAGCAGTAATGAAACAACTGAAATAATCACTGCTATCAGTAGGTTATGAGCTTGTTAAATATTATGTCAAGGAAATTATAAAATGTTTTCTGTTACTTTAGTAAAAGCTTGAAGTATACCAGGAAAAGTTATTTTAAAAATGGATATAATGTGTGTGTTTGTGTATCCTCTAATTATGTAATAGAATAAATCTTTACCAGAAGTATTCCAGGTGGGTTGTCTTTTCATATTGTTCAATAAGAAACAGTTCAGGGGCCTGGGAGTGCAGCTCAGTGATGGGAATCCTGCTTGTGAAGCACAGGCATGGTCCTGAGTTCAATCTGTACCACTGCAAGCAAAAAAAAGGGGCTGGGGGGTTGGCTCAGTAGAATAAGCACCTTCCCGGCAAGTCCAAGGGCCTGAGTTCAATTCCTGGTTCTGCCACAAAAAAAGAAAAAAAAAGTTTGTGGGCCAGGGAGATGACTCAGTAGAGTAAGTGCTTGCCTGGCAAGCACAAGGGCCTGCGTTCAATCCCCGGTTCTGCAAAAAAAAAAAAGAAAAATAGCAAAAGATAATTATAGTAGTTTAATAATTTATGGAAGAAATTTGAAATCGTAATGTGTATTATCAGATAATGTAACTTTTAGGTTACACTTAGGTCTAGCTCATTTTATTTATTTATTGGCAGAACTAGGGATTGAACTCAGGCCCTTGCACTTGCCAGGCAAGCACTTATTCTACTGAGCTATGTCCCTGGCCCCTCATTTTTATATAGAAGTACCCTGAGTAACATTTTTGGTTTTCCCCTTAACATTATTTATAATTGTCTGCTGGAATCTTTATTTTAAATCAGCCATATTTGGTTTTCTGTAGTACTTCTAAAATATATTGACTTCAGTACTTTTGAAACTTACTTGGTTTTTGGTGATACTAGGGCTGGAACTAAGGGGCCTTCATAATGAGCTGAATCACCATCCTTTATTTATTTAATTGGGGATTGAACTCAGGACCTTGCACTTGTGCTTGCCAGGTAGGCACTGATGCTGATGAGTTATTATATAGCCTTGGTGCAACACCCCCTCCCCCCCATATTTTCAGGAAGGTTTTGCTAAGGTGCTCAGACGCTCAAAAGTCTCCTGTTTTGAACTCTATTATTATCATGTCTAGCTATAATTTGATTCTCTTTTTCTTTCTTTTTTTTTTTTTCTCTGTCTTACTGGAAATTGAGACTAGGGCCTTTCTACTCAAAATACATCTCATGTTTTGTTTTTTTTTTAAATTATGAGATAGGACCTTAATTTGCCATCCTCCTGCCTTAGCTTCATAGAATGGTGGAATTATAGGGTAGTGCCACAGGTTATAATATGAAATTTATCCCATTTATAATATGAATTTTATAGGTCCATTAGCCCTTTATTTTCAGGGATTTAAAACATGCAGAAATGCCAGGTGTGGTAGCACAAACGTATAATCTCACCACAAGGGATGCAGAGGTAGTATGATCACAAGTTTTAAGCCAGAATTGGCTGAATTGTTCAAAGGCCAGCTTGAATTACATGAGACCCTGTCTCAAAAAAAAAAAAAAAAAAAAAATTGCAGAAATTGTTTTTTCTTTCTTTTCTTTTCTTTTTTGAACCAGGAATCAAACTCAGGACCTTGTGCTTTCCAGGCAGGTGCTAAAGCCACTGAGCTATCTCCTGGCCCCAGAAATTGTCTTTAATTTTTTTTTTTTTTTTTTTTTTTGCAGAACCTGGGATTGAACTCAGACCCTTGTACTTGCCAGGGAAGCACTTATTCCACTGAGCCAACTCCCCAGCCCCTAGAAATTGTGTTTAGAAAGCAGTCTGATTAGACTTTTCTTTTTACTGTGGGGGAAAAAAAGGATAAAGTTTAAAAATTTCATAGATTCTCTGTAAGATTTTGTATTTTCCTTCATGTTAAAGTAAATGAGAAAGTAAACTCTGTTCATAGGTCCATTTCCTGAAAATAACTTTTCATTTAACTTTCAAATGACTGAAGCCAGTAAGAGAGCTCAGCGGGCTAAGCTCCTGCTTAGGCAACTTAAGGACCAGGTTTCATCCCCAGCACCACTAGCCTTGCTAGCCCAGACCCCAGGGCTAGCACTGAGTCTGGACTGAGTCGTGGTGGGTGTGGTGGTACATGGCAGTAATCCCAGTGCTGGGGAGGCTGAAAAGAGTTGGAGCTGTGTAGCAGGACTCTTGTGTCCCAGATACATGGAGATAATCACCTGAAGTTAGAAACAGCTGATTGTATTACCTCTTGTGTCTTTAAGGTATATTTGTAGGGGTTTTGTTGTTGTTGTTTTTAAATAAGGAAATGGGGTGGGGAGATAGCTCAGTAGAATTAAGTGCTTGCCTGGCAAGTACAAGGGCCTGAGTTCAGTTCCCAGTTCCAGTAAATAAATACATAAGGAAATATTTATTTATTTGAAAGAAATGTTTTGCTTTTATTCCCCTTTATGAACTAAAGGCTACTAAAAAAACGGGAAAGGCTTGGGAGGCAGAGGCTTAGGGAGTTTGTAACAAGAGGCCACTGTGCTCTTGATAAGGAAATAATTTTTAAGGAGACAAAGAAATCTAACATGAAGATCCCTAAAATTAAGTGAGGGCATGTGCCCTCCTGCAAGTCTCCCGGCATAGAAAGAGTCGGGACGGGGGCGCAAACCAGCGACCTTGCGCTCCAGAGCCCAGCGCGGAGACCGCCGCGCTAGGTTGTCGCCTCCTAGGTTAGCTTTAAACTCTTAATCCTCATTATGATCCAACCTCCTGGGTGCAGGGATTGCAGGCATGTGCCACCATGCCAGGCCTTTTCTGCCATTTTAAAATGATTTTTGAGAGGGCGAGTGTATATTTACCAGAATAGTCAGGGAGCTTCCACCTATTTTATTCAGGTTTTAATTTTTTTCAAATTCCATCCAGTGGGAGCTGGGGAGATGGCTCAGTGGAATAAGCGCTTCCCTGGCAAGCGCAAGGGCCTGAGTTCAATCCCTGGTTCTGGGAGGAAAAAAAAAAATTCCATCCAGTGGCTATATAATTGGAAACCAATAAGCACTAGTTTTACTCGAAAGGAGTAGGATCACTCAGACTTACTCCAAAACTGTGAACACTTTAGCAAAAATTTTCTTCATTTAAAAGAAAGGAATAACAATGACAAAACTATAGTAGTCTCTTCTTATGTTCATTGCATGAAATGAGTTCTGCTTTTAGAACTTTGACACTGGTATAAAATGATTTTATCAGGGGCTGGGGAGATGGCTCAGTGGAATAAGCACTTCCCTGGCAAGTGTGAGGGCCTGAGTTAATTCCCGGTTCCGCAAAAAATAAAGAAATAAAAAAAATGATGTTATCCTGTTTACAATTTCCAAAGATACTAATCCAGACATATTTAGTCATGTATCCTGCATAAGAATGTTTTGTTTTGTTTTTCAGTATGGATACTGAATCCAGTCCTTCACAGTGAGCTATAGTAGCCCTTAAATTATATATATATATATATATATATATATATATATATATATAAAATTTTAAATGTTTTTAGTACAGGGTCTCCCTATATAGATCAGACTCATAGTGATCCTCCTGTTTTCAGCCTCCTAAGCATTGGGATTACAGGTGTGCACCACCATAACCAGTCTCAGTGCACCCCCTGGGAGGGCGGGGCCTATACAGCAGGCCAGGGATTGAACCCCTTATTTTTTATGTATTTGGTTGTTGCAGGGTCTCATTTGGTTGTTGCAGGGTCTCATTACACAGCTTGGACTCGTAGTGATCCTCCTGTTTTCAGCCTCCCCAGTGATGGGATTATAGGCATGGGTCACTACGCCGGGACTCTGGCCGGTCCAAGCTGGCTCAGCCTGACTGGGACGGGGCTGCCATAGCATGTGCCAAGAATTGAACCATGGTCTCTGTGCTTGCCTAAGTAGGCACTTAGTCCATTCTGCCCCATGTTTGTTTAATTAATTTATTTATTTTGGCAGAACCGGGGATAGAACTCAGTCCCTTGCACTTGCAAGGGAAATGCTTATTCTACTGAGCTATCTCCCAGGCCCCCCATGTTTATTTGTTGAGATAAGACTCTCAGTACTTGTTTTTTGTGAGGTTTTGTCGTTTTTTTGAGGCAAGATCTCACCATGTGGTACAGGGTCACATTGAACTTGTATATTTATCCCAGGCTTACTTCGACACATGGTGATCCTCCTGCCCCAGCCTTCTGTGTGCTGGGATTACAGGTGTGCACCACCTCACCCAGAGTCTCTTGTAGTTCAGACTCACTATGTAACACAGGTTGTCTTTGAACCTGAGCTAGGAATTAGAGGCAATTCTGCTTCAGCCTCTTGACTGCTGAGCTTAGGTTGTTGTTTTGGGGGAGGTCAGGGGATTGGGACAGGGTCTTAATAAGTTGCCTGGACTATTGGATATATCCATTGAATCCTATCCTGGGAAATTTAGCAGTTTATTGGGACTTTATTTAAAAACAGTAGGTAAAAGTGGTGTGGAGAATTTAATTACATGAGTGAGAAGGTCTGTGATGCTATCCCAGTACTAAAGGGTGAGGGTGGCTTTTGAAGAGTTACTTTGTTTTGTATATGTTCATAGGTTAAGATTGAACTCTTTACACCTTTGGGACTTTAAACAAGTAAATTACAGAGGTACTCTGGAACCTTAATTTGTGAATCTGTTACTAACTTAATGCTATAGAAAATGTAGGCTGTGGGGAACAGGGAGATGGCTCCGTAGAATATGTGCTTGCTTGGCAGGTGCAGGGACCTGAGTTCAATCCGCAGTTCCACCAAAAAAAAAAAAAGAAAGAAAGAAAAGAAAATGTAGGCTGTGGTATTTAGAACTAAAATCTCTTAAAAAAAAAAAAAAAGAACTAAAATCTCTTTAATTTTTTTTTTTATAGGGGAAGTTAAAGAGTTCCCATAAGTAGTAAATAATAACTAGGTTTGTGCTAATAATCCATTGAAACTTGAGAGACATTTTAGTGAAAAGGCAAAAAAACAAAAACAAAACCTAGTTTTTTTCCCCTTGTGTAATATTTAATATTTTTTATCCTGGCAAGCATGAGGTCCTGAGTTTGGTTATTTGTTACCCCCCCAAAAAAAAAATTTTGTATTTTTTGAAATCCATTTTGATATCTTCACATTGGTAGTCAAATCAAGAATTTTTTATTTAGGGGCTGGGGAGATGGCTCAATAGAATAAGTGCTTCCCTGGCAAGTGCAAGGGTCTGAGTTCAATCCCCAGTTCTGCCAAAAAAAAAAAAAAAAGAATGTCTTATTTAGTATCTATGCATTCATAAACATGTATAGAAATAACTAATTCAGGGCTGGTGAGATGGCTCAGTGGTCTAAAGCACCTACTTAGAACAAGCTAAGCTAAGCAAAACACAGGGACCGCGGTTCAATCCCCCAGCACCACATGCTGGCCAGCCCCGCCCCCTGGTGGGCTGAACTGGCTACACACACATTAAATAAATAAATAAATAAAATAATAATTTAAAAATATATAAAAAAAGAACTAATTCAACTTAAGTGTATCTTTAATAGATTTAAGAAGGAATACAAATGAAAGATAATATATTTTGTGCATGGTTGCCTTCCCAGTACTATTAATCATTCATGCTTCTAAGAAGCTTTAACTGTATTTAGCAATATTATTTGAAGCTTATCCTCACCCAGATGACTTTTTTTGTTTGTTTTTTTGGTACTGAGAATTGAACTCAGGTCCTTGTGCTTTCCAGGCAGTCACTGTGTCACTGAGCTATATCCCTGGCTTCCATCCTTCAAAATTATTTTGAACAGCAAAATGAAATCTTCAAATCAGAAATAATCAGAGCCAGGCATGGAGACACACACCTGTAATCTCAGCATTCAGGAGGCTGAGGCAGTAGGATCACTGCACATTACGAGGCCAACCTGGGCTACATAGCAAAAGTTAAGGTTAGCCTAAAATACACAGCGAGTCCCTGTCTCAAAAAAATTAAAGGAATTTGTTGTAAGTTTGGAAGAGATGTAGGGAAAAAATAAGTAAACTTCTGCTCTTTACTGTAGTAAGTTTTTATTGTTTGAAATCTCCGGACTGGAAAAACAAATGATGTGTTTCTCAATAGTTTGTAAAATAAACTTTAAGGTATTGGTTTTCTATTTAGATAAGCCATCGCAAAACTCAGAAAATGAACAAAATTCTGTTACCTTGGAAGTCCTGCTTGTCAAAGTTTGCCACAAAAAAAGAAAGGTAATGTATAAAATGCTGCTGGTAGATTAGGTGGAATAATTTTCTGAATTTAACATATTGATGCATATATATTGGATTTTAAAGCCTTTTTGTTGTTACTGTTATTATACTGTGCACTGAATCCAAGGCCTTTGCACGAAGTAACATCCCTACCACTTTTAAAATTTTTTGAGACAGGGTCTTGCTAAATTTCTTTATGTGACTTAAACTTGTCATCTTCCTGCCTTAGCTTCCTAGAGTGGTGGGATTGTACGTATATGCCATTGTGCCCTAGTTGTAATTTGTCTTTTATAGGCTCGTTTTTAGTTTTCTTTGAATAACTAAATTGTCCAGGCTATCCTCAAATTTGCTATCCTCTTATCTCATCCTCTCAGGGTGCTGGGTTTGTAAGATTGTTCCATTATCCTTGATCAAATTAATGGACTTTTTTGGTTTGTTTTTTAATGTATTTAGTACAAGGGCTACAGGGTCTCGCTACATAGATCCAGACTTGTAGTGATTCTCCTGTTTTTCAGCCTCCTAAGTGCTGGGATTACAGGCGTGTATGACTACGCCCAGGTGTGCAATTGCTGTCTCACGGCCCCTAAGCAGGGCACTCTGGGGATCGAACCCCAGCTGCTGCGCTCTGCCTAAGCAGGCACTTTAGTCCGCTGAGCTATCTGGCAAGCCCTTTGTTTTTTTTTTTTTTTTTTTTTTCTTTCTTTCTTTCTTTCTTTCTTTCTTTCTTTCTTTTTTTTTTTTTTTTTTTTTTTTTTTTTTTTGGAGGCAGGGTCTTTTATGTACCACAGGCTGGCTTTGAACTTGGGGCCATCTTGCTTCAGCCTCCAGAATACTGGGAATACAGGTACACACCACTACACATAGTTGAAAAGCAGTTTGTACACTTCAGTAATTTAGCAGTTATGTCCATGACTGAATTTTAACACTGTAATCTCTTCCAGCCTTCCCTGTATTGTGTGTGTGTGTGTTTTTTTAATCTGATTAGGTTTCTATACAAATCTTTGTTTATTGGAGTCTGAAAATGAAGGAAAGTTTTTGTTATGAATTAGTTTAGATAGGGTTTCACTATATAGTCCAGGCTATCCTTGAACTTATTAAAATTCTGCCTCAGCCTCCCAAGTGTTGGAATTACAAGTGTTGTGCCACCACACCTGGCTCAGTTTTATTATTTTATGTCATAAATCCAGTTCCTTTTCTGTCATTTCAGTCTATTAGCTTATTCCATAGATGAGTAGTGGCAAACCTATGGTAAGTGTGCTGCAGCAGACTTACTATCATGGAAAGCTCTAAGAAGTTTGCCATCTGGGCCTTTTGGTACTAATACCCATTAAAATTGTAGGTAAGGATTAAAAGAGGTATTTTCCAAAAAGGATGATCATCTGATATTACTCTCAAGCAAAAGAGAAAAAAAGTTGTCAGTTTTATTAGCCATTTAGTTATTAATTCATTGCTTCAAATTTTTATTTAGAAGATTAAATCATTTCACCATAGAGACAAGTCTCATAATGGTTGTTTCCAGGGCAACCCACCGAAACGAACAGGTGTTGTTTAAGTAGCCTCAAATCCTTGAATCTTTTAAAAAGAGCAAGAGCTGACCTATATAGAGGTTCTTAGTGTTGATCGTTTTTTAACATCATATTAAAGTGAATAAGGCTTGGAAACTGCTACATTATTGTTAGGGAATGAACTAGCTTGATAGAAGGCAGCACTATAACTACATTTTAAAATTATTTCGAGCTGAGGTGTAGTTGCACATGCCTAAAATTCCAGCACTTGGGAGGATAAAATCAGGGTTTTGAGTTTGAGGCCAGGTTGTATGAGAGAGAGAGAGAGACAGATTGAGATTGAAATTACGAAATAGTGCTTTGCTCTTCACACCCACCCACTCCTAATCTGTACAACTTTAAGACAGAGTAAAGAATTCCTCACAAAACATTTAGAGAAAAAAAAGGTGAATGTGAACATATCATCCTTTGGAACACATTTTTGGGCTACAAAAACAGAAAAGTAAATGTGTTCATGGAAGTATGTATGCAGCCTCAACTGCTATTGAGTGTGTGACACTACCTTGTAGAGTAGAATTTTCCAGTTTTTAATGTACTTTTTTCTTGAGTTAGGTTTTTAAGACTATAGATAAACATGTAAAAAGGAACATTCAGTGTTCCCTTCTTGTAAAGATCCCCTGCATCTTTCAGTTTTTCTGCTATGCTCTTAAAGCATGTAACTGGTTGTATAACAAAACAGTAACTAAAAGACAGTATTCTCTTAACATTTAACTATATGGGCTTACTATGTCATAATGTTGATCCTGAAGTTATAAACATCTTTCATTTCTAATGTTCCTATCACTAATTGCTGTATTAAAATAGAAAATTGAAGAGAAATGTTAGATGAGTTGAGTATTTTAAGAAGGACAGTGTGTGTGTGTGTGTGTGTGTGTGTGTGTGTGTGTAGTAATATAAACCCAGGGCATTGTGTATGCTAAGCAAGCACTCTACCTATTGAGTTCTTATTAATTTCATTATATCTCAATTAATTTAATAATTAGAGTACAGTTCCATAATTTTCTTCTTGCTTCACAGTATTTAGAAATCTGACTTTTTAAAAATGATATTACTGGGGATTGAACCAGAGCCTTTGCACTGTTATATTCGTATCCCTTTTTTATAAGACAAGGTCTAGTTAAATTGCTCTGGCTCGGCTTTAATTTGGGATTCTTCTGCCTGAGTCTCCCAGGCTTCTGGGATTACAGTTGCGCATCATCAGAGCCAGGTCATTCTGGCTAAAGATGATGATTATTTTAATATATCATTTGATAATCATAATTTGTGCTATCTTTCTTATAGTTGTGATAAAAAGTGTTGTTACAGTTACTGTTGCTAGCATGTTAATGTAATTCAATAATCTTTACTTTTGCAGGATGTGAGTTGTCCAATAAGGCAAGTTCCCACAGGTAAAAAGCAGGTGCCTTTGAATCCCGATCTCAATCAAACAAAACCTGGAAATTTCCCGTCCCTTGCAGTTTCCAGTAATGAATTTGAGCCTAGTAACAGCCATATGGTGAAGTCTTACTCATTGCTGTTTAGAGTGACTCGTCCAGGAAGAAGAGAGTTTAATGGAATGATTAATGGAGAAACCAATGAAAATATTGGTAATTTTTCTTTAAATAATCTTACTAGATTTTGTTTTTCATTGGAAATTGAGGTAGTCAGTGAAAATGATTGAACCAGTGTTCCTTCATAGTTTCTTTTTGAGTTATTTTATTTTGTTGTTATTGTTATTTTGGGGGGCTGGCTCAGCCCAGGGCTGGTGCAGCATGTGGTGCCAGGGATTGAACTGCAGTCACCTGCACATGCCTAAGCTTGCCTAAGCCAGGCGCTTTAGACCACTGAATTATCTTGCCAGCCCCTTGAGTTGTTTTAAAAATCTTACCTTTTCAAAATCCATCTGACTTAATCTGTTAGCTGTGAATTCATCTTTCAGCTTTGTTGTAATTTATTTTGGTTTTATTTTCTTTTGGGTCCCAAACTCTCACACTTTCCCATGTTGGCCTCATTACTCCTAAACTCAAATGATCTTTCTGCCTCTGCCTTCTGAAATGCTGGTAGTATACTTCCTCTCTGCCATACAGGGCGTCCTTCATTTTGTTATGAAAAATTTCAAACATAAACATTTGAAACAGTTTTATCTGCTAAGCAATTACACTGAATTGTGTTCTTTTCCTACTGTATCCCACCTGAGATCGATCATTGCTGTGTTGTTGGGGCGTACAAGATTCCTAACTCTTGGGCTCAAATGATCCTCTTCTCTCAGCTTCTTGAGTGTTTGGACCATAGGTGCACATTACTCCATCCAGTTTGAACATGAACATCATATACTTATCACATATTGACCTCCTTCCCTCTAAATTTCCACCAATTCTGAATTCATCTGTGAGGTAATCATTCAACTAACGTATAGGTGGCAGAGATATAAAGATAAATAAATCATCCAGTCTTGTTGTCCAGAGGCTCACTACCTAGGGCAATAGATGTGAAATAGTTGTAATAAAATGATGAATGCTAGAATACATACATATATAGGCAAAGTTCAGTAAAGAAGCACTTTAGGAGAAATCATCTTTTGAGTTTGTAAGTATCCTTTGAGATTCTTAAAAAAGGGATGGTTGGTTAAGGAATTTGCCTACCAAAAATCATTCGAAATAAAAATCAGTATTTGTGAAGATATAGAGATCTTCATGAATGTCAGAAAATAAAGGATACACAGCAAAAACATGAAATTGGAGCAGGTATGATCTCAATTACATTCCATCTTCTTTGTAATTTGTATTTCATTTAAGGGAACTATACCATGTTTCATGTTAAGGGACCATATATCATAATTAGCACATTTTTTGCTTGAATAATTGATTTATGAAAAATATTTGTTAAATTCAGATGTTAATGAAGAACTTCCAGCCAGAAGAAAACGAAATCGTGAAGATGGGGAAAAGACGTTTGTTGCACAAATGACAGTATTTGATAAAAACAGGTAATATTGATGGACAGACAAGCAACACATCCATAATGTTCTAGAAATGATTTTATTCTGCAATGAAATACAATGGTGATGTTTGTTTCTTTGTGTTTGCTTTTTATTGTTAGGAAGAGGAAATTTACTTTGCATAAAAAGCAATAGGACAGATAAACTACTTGATGACTCAAATTTAGCAAGTATATATTCTGTGTGTGCCTGCTCCTAGTCTGATGTTGTACATAGTAGAAAGGCAACAAAGTCTCTACCTTTGTGGAACTTAAAGTTTAATATTGGCTAGCTACATATTCCATAAAAATAGCAACTAATTTCACTTAGTGAGTGCCATGAAGAAAAATAAAAGAACCTAAAGATCTGCACAGGATCCATGTCATTTAAGTCTCTGGCCCAAACAGTACCTACTGTTCCTACTGTTTGGGTGGTCAAGGTGGTGTTTACTGTTCATAGAGAAAGCCTATGGGAAGAGATACTGTTTGGGCCAGAGACTTAAATGACATGGATCCTGTGCAGATCTTTAGGTTATGTGTTTACTAAAATTAAGGAGGAAAATTAAATTAATCACTATCTTGTACTTAGGACTAAGTTAACATATAATAAACATAATATCTCCCCATTTGACCCTAATAATATTCCTTTATATTTTATGATGTCTTTTCTCCCTTAGTAGTTGTCCTGCTTGTCCATTCTTCTTCAATTGGAAAAGTTAGTTCTCTTAATCTTTTTCTGTTTTTTTTTTGTTTTTTTTTTTTGAGACAAAAGTCTAGCTGAGTTGCCCAGACTAGGCTTGGACTTGTGGTCTTCTTGCCTCCGCTTCTACAGGCCTGAAATTATAGTTTTGTGGCCCCCATACCTGCCTTTTTTTTTTTTTTTTTTTTTTTCTTTTTAGAGAAGCTACTACTGTGCTAAGGCAAGCTGAGCTGAAACTCCTGGACTGAAGTGATTGTCTTGCCTCCACTTCCAGTGTAGCTGGGACTATAAGTGTGAGCCTCTAGGCGTGTGCCACTAACCCTGCTGTAGCCTGTATTTGTACATGATTTCTCAGTGTGAACTTGTCCTTTTACTTCTTTATCTTTTTTTTTTTTGGAACCGGGGATTGAACTCAGACCCTTGCACTTGCTAGGGAAGTGCTTATTCCACTGAGTCATCTCCCCGACCCCACTTTATGATTAGATTCAATTTCACTGTTTGTTTTTTTTTTTAATTTAAATTTTTTTTTTTTTAATTTCAGTGTTTTTGACAGATGCTAATTAGTGATTCATTCTTTGTGGGCTACATCACAGATCCAAAGGTAGTATTAGGTTTGGTCCTTTGGTCAAGGTGGTGTGCAATGTCTTATTTTAACAATACTTTCTCCCTTTTCATCAGCTAATACAGTCTCTGTGGTAATACATGAACCTGATGAATATCCTTTTACACCTCCTCCCCTAGTATCTTTTCACTTAATTGTGTCAGCAACCATTGCTATCCATTGATGATTCTAGTTTTTTATCATGTGGGTTAGCAAATTCTATTTTTAGTTGTTTTAATTTAGTCATGTTAATGCATTTTAATCCTCAGATTATCCTAGATTTAGTCAGTGGGAGCCATTTTAAGCAGGCTCTTAAGTCTTTGGCTATTTCTTGGATTTTTTTTTCCTTATTTTCTGGAATAATAGATAGTACAGACTTACCTTCTTTTCATACCTCTGCTCTGGGATTTCTCTCCCTCTTTTTATTCATTGTGTGTGTGTGTGTGTGTGTGTGAGAGAGAGAGAGAGAGAGAGAGAGAGAGAGAGAGAGAGTCTGTCTCACTGTGTATAGCTCATGCTGGCCTTAAATTATATAGCCTTCATTATCTAGCCACAGGCTGGCTTCAAACTTCAGTCACTCCTACCTCAGTCTTCGAAGGACTGGGACTACAAGCATATGCCAACATGCTTAGTTTGGGATTTCTTTTAGGGGCCCTCATTTTGTTTTGGTGAGGAATTACTATTTTTAAAAAACAAAATTCAAAACCAGTGAAGTATTAAACATGGAATAAAATAAACCTTTCTAAAATAGAAAGTGATTCTAGCTAAAGTAAAATTAAAAATTACAGTCGGGCATTGTGGCACATAATTGAAGTCTCACATACCAGGAGGCTGAAGTGAGTCAGACACTTGAGTCGAGGTGTTCAAGGCCAAAGGGGTCGGGCTGGCCAACAGAGTGAGTCTTGACTCAAAAAAGGAGGGATTAAGGGGAAAAATTGGGCAGTAGTTGTTTTTAGCTCATATTTATCACTTAAAATGTGATTCCCTTAATATAAAGATAAAATTCAAAAAGAATATTGCCTGTTGCACACAGTGGCATATACTTGTAATCCTTCTAGAGGATGAGGTGGGAAGATATACGGTGAAGGCCAGACAGGGCAGTTTAGGGAGTCCCTATCTTGAAAAGACTGGGGACATAGCTCAGTGGTAAAGCACTTGCCTATCATGCACAAAGCCCTAGACTTAATCCCAAGTAACACAAAATTTTTTTGAAAAGTTATAGCCCAATATAATAAAGGTTATAATAAAAAGTTTATAGAAAAAAGAAAGGTGTGGTTTTTGAACTGTTTGAAAGATAAAAAAACCTAAATTTAAAATACACTGAAATGTCATGTTTTTATTTGATTGCTAGATCAATAAACATGATAAAGCACTATTCATGAGGCTGTGGGGGACAAGGCCTTATACATTACAGGCAGTGTACATGGGATTTTAGCTATCATATGTATAACGAAACATTACGTAGTCATGTAAAAGGACATGGGAAACAACTGAAATCATTTGGCTGTATGCCTACTGAGATGAATAAAGAAAACATATTTGAAGAGGAAAATGGAATTACCTTACTGATACTCTAAGCAGACTAAACCGAAGTGTAGGATATGGAAAAGGTAAAACTAAGTAAGAATCATTCTGGTTAGAGTTTAGGTAATATCTGGATTTACTTAGTAGATCTGGCTACATAACTATGATCCTAAGGCAACTTTTAATCTGGAAATGGAACAGCAGCACATACATCTTAAAAGATGTTAGATTAAATTTGAACCATGTAAGCTCTATGGTATATTGCCTGACAGATAGTTAATTGATAAAAAAAATGATAAATTTAATTTGTAGCATTCAATTAATTTTAGCTATGATAACCTGAAAGGAATCATTCATGTTCCTTCTTTTGTCTCCTCTCCCTTCCCCACTTTTCCTCTACCCCCTCTTTTTTTCCTTGTTTGCTTGCCAAGCACTTCACCACTGAGCTGCCTGTCTAGCTCAGAGAGGCCTAATTCTTATTGTTGATGATTATGTTAGAAGAATGACACTTAGTGTAGTCGTGACTAGTAATTTTTAAAGTTATGAAAACATATAAATTATTTACACACATATTCATATACTAAGCTGTATGATTTAGCTGATTGATTCTTCAGCCAGTATTTTATGTATTCATTCATCCATTAAATATTTATTGAGCACCTATATGCCAGGTGCCTGCAAGATTCTGTGATTCTCTTGTTTTCAGTTTCCCAGTGCTGGAATTACAGGCATATGCCACCAATGTCTGGTCTCGGTGGTTGGTTCAGCATGCGCGGGGACAGGGCTGGTGCAAGCATGTAATGCCAGGGATCGAACCCCGGTCTCTGCACTTGCCTAAGCAGGTGCTTAGTCCGTTGAGCTATCTCACCGGCCATAAAATTCCTTTTTTTCAGAGCTGCAGTATACAGCTACATTTTAAAATCCTGTTGGATGTGTAAGCTAGTTATAGCTTTAATAAGTGCTTTTTAGTGTAAATCTAAAAATGTAGAATTTGTGTACTTACAATAATACATAGGTGACTTTAAAGTGTATGTGTTTGTCTAACAGGCGCTTACAGCTTTTAGATGGGGAATATGAAGTAGCCATGCAGGAAATGGAAGAATGTCCAATAAGCAAGAAAAGAGCAACATGGGAGACTATTCTTGATGGGAAGGTATGGACTGCTTAGAAGGCTGAGCACATTAATAGTTATGAACTCCCACTTTTGATGTATTTCCCCCAAATGCAAATTTATGTTGAAAGTAGAGATCTTTAAAGACTTCGAAAATCTCAAGTAAAATGATCTAGTTAAGAGTATTTCACAAAAAACATTGTTCTTAGAGCCAGGCTGCCTGATTTCAAAACTCTGGTCCTAGTTGTGCAACATTTGGCACATCTTGGTTTTCTTGTCTGTGAAATAAGGGATAGAGTTGATGGATTGAATGGTAAATAATGAGATACATTTAACCTTGTGCCTGGCATATAATAAGTGCTCAATAAATGTTAACTGCTGTTTTAGATCTCCATTCATAGGGGCTGGGGATATAGTTCAGAAATGCAAAGTTCTGAGTTTAATTCCCAGTACCCACCCTCCATCCAAGAAAATCTCCTTCATAATAACAGCAGATGTGATTAATAATAACTTATGTCAATAAATTGCATAATTCAGGTGAAACATACCATGATTTTTAGTAAAAGTAATAGACATTTTCTTGGGTAAGCATACTCACCAAAATCTTTTATTTCTAACTAGATCACTATATCACAAAATCTAAAAGGAATGGTATAAGTCTAAAAATTAGTCCCAAATTAATCTAGTAATATGCAATAATACCAAAGAGTATTTTGGAAAAATTACTTACCAGGGAGTAGAATATAGCACAAAATTAAAAGAACTTAAACTGTATTATGTAATCGTAAAACTAAGTAATCACTGAAAAATAATCCTGCAGTAGTTTAATACATATTTGAGCTTTGTTTTTCAGTAAAGGTAGTTCAAGTCTTTATCGGCAAGATAAACTGTGCATTGTGATAACTGATCTCTTAACCATCTGGAAATAAACTTAAACCAGAAGGTTTATAAATATAAATGTGGAAATAACATGCCAGGGCCTGGGGAGATAGCCTGGTAAGCATAGGTCCTGAGTTCATTCTCCGGTACAGCAAAAAAAAAAAAAAAAAAAAAAAAAAAAGGAGAGAGAGAAATTAACATTCCATAATTAGGTGCATGTTAATGAATTCTATGGTGAGGAATATCTTTATAAGGATGGTTTCTAAGGCAGAAACCACAAAGTTAAAAAATGCTTCATTTAAATAATGATTCTTGGGCTGGTGAGATGGCTCAGTGGTCTAAAGCACCTACTTAGAACAAGCTTAGCAAAGCACAGGGACCGAGGTTCAATCCCCCAGCACCACATGCCAGCCAGCCCCGCCCCCTGGTGGGCTGAGCTGGCCACACACACACAAATAAAAAAATTTAAAAAATTCTTGGTTTAAATAATGATTCTTATTTTATAGAAATCTAAGATTAAAAATAGAAATGGGAGGGCTGGCGAGATAACTCAGTGGAATAAGCACCTGCTTAAGCAGGTGTAGGGATCAGGGTTCTATCCTCAGCACCACATGCTACTGTGTTAGCCAAGACTGGGTGTGGTGGCGCACGCCTGTAATTCTAGTGCTGGGGAGGTTGAAAAAACAGGAGGATCCCTACGAGTCTTAAGCTGCATAGTGAGACCCTGTACCAAATACACATACACACACAAAAATAAAATGGAGCTTCTGTAGCTGAGTATAGAGAACTTGCTTAACATGTCCTGAGTTCAGTCTACAACAAAAGGTGATGGATTGGGTGAAAATATTTAATGTAACACAATATTTTGAGTTCTATAAAACAGAAAGGGGGTGAAGTATATTTTCTGATAGTATGTACACTTAGCATGCTTGAGGATCTGGATTTGATGCCCCAGTACACTCCCGGCAGACACTAACAAGGAAAATGAGTAAAGGACAATTTTTAAAAAAACAAGTAATTGTGATCAGTAAACTTTTAAGATACCCAGCCTTAGTTTTCAAAGTCACACAAACAAAAGCAAAACTACTTTTGACTGCTTGTTTGACAAAGATCAAAATGATTCATTGTAGTGTTTGGGATGGGAAGATGTATACTCAAGTAATACTTGGATGTGAGCATATGTTGATACAAGCTCACTGAAGGACAGAACTACCATATACATATACTGCTGAAACTTTATGTATGTAGGTATAAATCTTAGTTCTATAATTTCAGCAGTAATGGGATAGCTGAAACATGTAAGTAGCAAATCTCAGTTTTTAAATTGTTGAGGGGGCGCCGGGGAGATGGCTCAGTAGAATAAGCACTTGTCTGGCAAGCACAAGGGCCTGAGTTCAATCCCCGGTTCTGCTAAGACCATAGTGGGCTGGGGAGATAGCTCAGTAGAATAAGTGCTTGCCTGGCAAGTTTTAAGAGCCTGAGTCCCTGGTTCCTCCAAAAAATAAAAATAGATTGTTGAGGGCCAGAGAGTTAGCTTAGTAGCATAAGCACCTACCTGCCAGGCAAGAGCAAGATCCTGAAGTTGATACCTGGTATCACCCCCCCCCCAAAAAAAAAAAAGACAGTTGAAAAATTGGAAACATCTTTTAAAACTACATAGATGGTCAAGGGGCTGGGGAGATAGCTCAGTAGAATAAACACCTGCTGCTTGGCAAGCACAGGGTACCAAGTTCAATTCCCGGCACTGCAAAAATTAAATAGGTGGTCATAAAAAAGATGATAGTTTGACAAGATTGATGTAATTTTTACTAAATTGTATGTACCAGCCCCCATTTTCTAAAATTACTGCTAATAGTGGCTAATGCTAGATAAGATTTTACTGAATTTATACCTATCTTTAATATTTTTATTTTTTACAGTTACAGTTTTCTTACTTTAAGATTTTTTTCTTTCTTTCTTTCTTTTTTTTTTTTTTTGGTGGAACTGGGGATTGAAATCAGGCCCATGCACCTGCCAGGCAAGCACTTACTCTACTGAGCCATCTCCCCAGTCTTAAAATTTCTTAAAATATATTGAGTGTATTTATGAGGGAAAAAATTAAAAAATACCTATGAGCTATTTCCTGGCAAATTGCAATAATATGAGATACACACCCTCTTATAAGATAAATTACTAGATAAAACTAGGCATGATGGTGCATGTTTGTAGTCCCAGCACTGGAGGATGAGGCAGGAGGTTCACCACAAGTTTGAGGGCATCCTGGTCTATATAGGAAGACCCTGTCTCAAAAACAAATACAGGGGCCAGGGATATAGCTCAGTGGCATAACCTCCTGCCTGACAAGTACAGGGCCCCAAGTTCAACCCCTGGTACCTCAAAACAAAAAAATATACATACATTTTTAAAAATTTGTAGATACAACTTACTGTGTCAGAACTAGTTCATATTATTGTACCTTTACGTCATTCTAGTCTAAAATTAAATTATAGTATTGGTAGTCATGCTGAGAACCAAACTCAGGTCCACTATCCATGAGCTATATATTCTGTTCCTAGCCCTCAAGTTGTAATTTTGATAGGATTATCTGTAGTAAAGACGTAGAAGGGCTTTAGGCTTATACAGCAGTAAAATTAGCCCATTGAATATTTCTGTATGAGATAATAGCATGAAAAGTCTTTGCAAATATTGGATCTCCTGTATCTGAATTGGGAAGGTTTGAAAACAGGAAAATCACTTAAGGTGCTAATAGTAGTAAGACATTAACAAGTGACAGTACCTTTGAGAGGCAGGTAAGTGGAGAAGTGAGTTTAGAGCCCAAATACAAAGATGCCCCCAGCTGGACTTGTTGGTGCATGCCTGTAGTTCTCTGGAAGCCTGAGGTAGTAGAATCAGTTTAAAGCCCAGCCTGGACAATTTAGTGAAACCCTGTGTCAAAATTTAGGAAATGGGCTGGAGATGCCAGTAGGGTGCTGGATTCAGTCCTCACTGTAGCCAAAAGAAGAGGAGGAGTGTGAAACCCATTTGGAAGTCCTCACCCTTAGGTGCATTTTTGAAGATGGGTGAAAGATTGGAGTACATGACTTAGCTAGCAACTTAGGAGATACAGAATTTGTCTTACAAGTGATTTAAATGGAGGTAGTGAGCCGGAATAATTTGTTTCAAAACAAAAGATGAAAGGGCAGTCAATGTCAGTGAGCCTAAGAGAAATCAATGAAAATTACTAAGTGCTGAAACCACTCAATTAGCAAAGAAAAAAATAATTGGTCATCTAAACACAGAGGTTTCAAGCTAGCAAGTTTTGAGTACTATGTTTTTGCTTTAATTACGTTTTGAGCTGTGTATGGTGGCTTACGCCTATTTTGAAGCAACTCAGAAGGCTGAAGCAGATTGATAGCAAGGTCAAAATCAGCCTGGGCAGCTTAATAACCTGTATCAAAATAATGAATAAAGTTTTTCATGCCTATAGTCCTTCAGCTTGGGAGGCTGAATCAGTAGGATCACTGAGTTCAAGCCCAACCTGAACTGCATAATGAGACCTTGTCTCAAAAAAAAAAAAATTATTATTTTTCTTTTTTTCCAAAAATGGCTGTAATATAATTCTTCAGTGGCACACCCTTAATTTCAAGCTCTGGTATTTCAGTCCCTGATACTACAAAAGACATTTTGGTTACTTTAAAATGAGATTTTTCATGAAAACTTTTTTACCTTGTCATAAGTGGGTGGGTGTGTTCCTGAGGATCAAACGCTAGGCCTCAGGCATGCTAGGCTAGTGCTATAACACTGAGATACATCCCTAACCCAAGTTTCTGGCTTTTTTTTTAAAGTCTGAAAATCTGTGCTGTCAGTTTTTGTACATATCAACAGTTTGGGTGTTGCTGATGAGTAGCTACCACTGTAGATATCCTGAGGTCTTTGGTAGTGTCATTATTTGCTTGGTTGATAATATCTGTTGGCTTTTGGATTTTTACATAAAATGTATTGATTTAAATAAAATCCACATTGATTCATTGCAGTGATTTGTTTGTTTCTTTCATTATGTAGATTTTAACCCTTTTCCTATTTCTTGTTATTTAGAGACTGCCTCCATTTGAAACATTTTCTCAGGGACCTACATTGCAGTTCACTCTTCGTTGGACAGGAGAAACCAATGATAAGTCTACAGCTCCTATTGCCAAGCCTCTGGCCACTAGGAATTCAGAGAGTCTCCATCAAGAAAACAAGCCTGGTTCAGTCAAACCTACACAAACTATTGGTAAAGGAAAAAAGAAAACACAAATGTGCTATAAAAATAATGGTTTTAGAGTTAGAACTTTATAATTTATATTTAGAGTAACTTGTTTTCGTTAATTATTCAGGAGACTTTTTGCCTTATTAATGGGCATAGGAAATTAGGCTACTAAGTATAAACCTTATATTGTAGTATTGATTTGTGTGTGTGTGTGCAACTGGGGATTGAACTCAGGACCCTGTGCTTGCCTGGTGCTGATTCTACTGAGCTATCTCTCTGACCCTGATAGATAATTCTTTTTTTTTTTTTTTTTTGTGGAACCGGGGATTGAACTCAGGCCCTTGTGCTTACCAGGGAAGCACTTATTCCACTGAACCATCTCCCCAGCCCTTATAGATAATTCTTTATCCACTGCTTTTGTGTCACATGTCTAGGTGTTTCGTTTTTCTTCTGATAATTAAGGAATATGATACATAGTATATATACCCTATGTAGGTATATGTGTCTGTTTCTGCCTCTCTGTTTGTATGTCATTTGTGTGTACATTTGGTAGTACTAGAGATTAAGCCAGAGGCCCTCCCACTTAGCTAATACGCCTAGCCTTTTTACTTTCTGAGACACTGTCTTACTATGTCTTGAAATTGCCCAGGTTAGGTTCAGTTTGGATCCTCCTATCTTACTCTCTCTGAGTACTGGGATTATAGATACAATCCTACTTGGCTACATTTTTTTCCCCCTATTCTTGGTTATTGTGAATAATGCTTCATTAAACATAAATGCAGGCGCTAGGGAGATAGCTCAGTAGAATAAGTGCTTGCATGGCAAGTACAAGGGCCTGAGTTCAATCCCTAGTTCTGCCAAAAAAAGAAAAAGAAAACATAAATGGAAATATCTTTGGAAAACTTGTGCTGGGATTATAGGCCTGGATCACCAAGTCTATTTTATATGTCCTTTTTAAAATTTTTGGTACGGGGGATTGAATTCATGACCTTGTGATTGTCATGCTGGTGCTTAATCCTCTGAGGTCCCTGCCCCTTATATGCCATTTATTATACATCTTAATGTCTTTTAGAATAAATGTCACAAATTTATAGGAATAGGCTTTCAATTGCAACTATGAAGGGCTTCACAGCGTATTTTATAATACTAACATGATCTTGTAAATAACATTAACATTGTAATATTAGAGTTAAAATAGTGTAATATTTTTAGTACATTGCAAAACTGAATTAAATATTTCATTGTTTTTACCATTATAAGTTTGGAAGAGGTTCAGTAGAACCTGCATTTTTTTTTTTTTACAAAGTTAAATTTTATTTTTTTTAAATGTATTTAGTACAGGGTTTTACAGGGTCTCACTATGTAGATTGGACTCGTAGTGATCCCTCCTGTTTTCAGACTCCCACGTGCTGTGATTACAGGTGCACATAACCACTCGCAGTCTTACTGGCCAGTCTTTTTTTTTTTGCGGAACCAGGGATTGAACTCAGGCCCTTGTGTTTGCCAGGGAAGCGCTTATTCCACTGAGCCATCTCCCCAGCCCCTTACTGGCCAGTCTTAATGGCCAGCTCAGCATGGCCTGAAGGCAGTGCTGGGGCCAGCACAGAGCGACAGGCAGGATCAAACTCCAGCCGCAGCGCTCTGCCTAAGCAGGTGCCTTTCTCTCTGTCTCTATGTGTCCTTCTCTGTCTCTCTTGTTCTCTCTCTCTCTCTCTCTCTCTCTCTCTCTCTCTCTCTCTCTCTCTCTAGAACACTGTTCTTGATCTGATCTTTCATGCATTTTTTATCTGTATGCTTTTTAAAGAAGGCAAGCTTGATATGTTGTCTTTGACATTGACCAATCTCTACATCCATTATGTATAGATTACTGTAACACATTGAAGAGAAAAAAAAATGACTTAAGGACAGATTTCCCATGTAAATTATGGTCTGGGCAATTCTCTGAATACTCTGAAGACAGTAAAATAAGTGAGAGTTGCAAAGAAATTAATGAGAAGGGGACTAATTAGTGAAAAGAGATGGGAAAGAGTGGAAGGGTAGGACATAAAAAAATGAAAGAACTAAGATGTATTGTGTACATGTACCTGCCCTCCATGGTAAATAATCCTTGCGTATTGTAAACAGGTACTATGTAATTAAAATGTTTTATACAAAATATTGTATACATGAGGTGGCTAGTTGTGTCAAGAAAAGTACAATCTTTTTTCAGATCTGGTCTTAGATCTGAAATATACCAGAATCACCAATAGTGAGTAATCTCTTAAATGTGTAGTACAATCTTTTTTTTTTTTTTTTTTTTTGCAGTACTGGGTATTGAACTCAGGACCTTGTACTTGTCAGGCAAGCGCTTATTCTACTGCGCTATCTCCCTGGCCTTACAGTCAATTTTAGATAAACTAGCACTCAGTGGATGCCTGGGAATACCGTGATCAATTAAAAAAAAAATTTAAGGTTGGAGATAGGGGAAGTACCTTCATGGTAGAGCCCTTCCCAGTCTGCATAAGGCCTTGAGTATGATTGCTCTCAAAAACTCAACAATAAGAACAAAAAAACCCTACAGGGGCTGGGGAGATGGCTCAGTGGAAGCGCTTCCCTGGCAAGTGCAAGGGCCTGAGTTCAATCCCCGGTTCTGCCAAAAAACAAAAATCCACAATAAGACCTATACATACTAAAAATAGTACAATGGCTTTGTAATTACAAAAAGGTTTTTTTAATTTATTTATTTATATTTTTTATTTGTGTGTGTGTGTGTGTGTATGGCCAGCTCAGCCCACCAGGGGGCAGGGCTGGCTGGCATGTGGTGCTGGGGGATTGAACCGTGGTCCATGTGTCTGCCAAGCTTGTTCCAAGTAGGTGCTTTAGACCACTGAGCCATCTCACCAGCCCTATTTATTTATTAAAGACAGGTTCTCACTATACTGTTCAGGCTGGCTTTCATCTCACTCCAGGCTGGTCTCAAACTTGGACCTATCCTCCTGCCTCAGCCACAGAATTAAATTTTCATAATGGTTTTAAGGCATGAGTTTATTTTTTAGCCTTTTTTTGGGGCGGGGGGTTGTGGGTCAGGCTGTGTAACCCAAGTTGGCCATGAACTTGGGGTGATCCTGAATGTAGCAGTATGCCTGGCTAGGATATGGTGAGGGGAAAAATAAAGTCTGCTAATTTAGACGTTAACATCTGATGATAGATTAGGAGGGTTTTCTCTGATCATCAGTTCTAGATCAAAATAGAAATTGTGTTAATACCACAAATGTTTAATATTTTTTGCCTAAATAAGGTACCTTTTAGCAAATATACTCAATAAAATAAAAGTGTATTTTTCAGCTGTTAAAGAAACATTGACTACAGATCTACAAACAAGAAAAGAAAAAGATACATCAAATGAAAACCGACAAAAATTAAGAATATTTTATCAGGTAAACATACTTCACCTTCTCACTCTCATTTTTTTTCTTCAATCAGATTTTTCACTTTTCCTCCCCCCCTTTTTTCTTTTTCTTTTTTTTTTTTTTAATATATTTGGTACACGGTGTCACTACGCAGCTCAGACTCGTAGTGATCCTCCTGTTTTCAAGCCTTCCCAGCACTAGGATTACGGGCATGTGCCATTATGTTGGGTTGGCTCAGCATGCCCCGGGGGTCAGGCTATCTCAGCCTATGGTGCTAGCGATCGAACCCTGGTCAAGTGCTTAGTCAACTGAGCTATCTTGCTGGCCCTCTATTTTATGTAATTATGAAGTTAATTTTCTGTTACATATCTGAAATCATTTGGCATATTTAAAAAGGGTAGGGGGCCTGCCCCTTAGCTCAGTTCTAAGTGGCTGCTTCAACAAAGCAGTCAGGCTCAGGTTGCTGTGGTTCTATCCCCACAACTCAAGCCAGCCAAAACTGCCCCGAAGGCATTTGGAGCAAAAAAAGAAAAGGGTAGCTCTAATTTGTCTTTCCTTTTAAATTCTTTTCTTTTTTTTTGTGGAACTGGGGATTGAACTCAGGCCCTTGCACTTGCCAGGCAAGTGCTTATTCTACGGAGCCATCCTCTTTTTAAATTCTTCTATTAATTTTAGAGTTACTGAAACACTTTGAGATGTACATGTTGTAGATTTGTAAAAAGTTTTTGTGTTTTAGTTCCTTTACAACAATAATACAAGACAACAGACTGAAGCAAGAGATGACCTGCATTGCCCTTGGTGCACTCTGAATTGCCGCAAGCTTTATAGTTTACTCAAGCATCTTAAACTCTGCCACAGTAGATTTATCTTCAATTATGTTGTAAGCTTTTTATCTTTTCTTACTAGTAATTATAAGAAGACTTGAAAGAATTATACTTTGTATGTTGATAGTTTTTATGCGTGTATGAAGTGAATAATTTACATATATTTCAAATTGATAATTTAATATTTGTATAATATAACATTGACTAGTACAATCCTTACTTTTGAAGTTGAGTAATTTTCTTATTTGTGCTTAGGTAGGAAATTTGTAGCCAGGTGTGGAGATGCATGCTTATAATCCCTGTGATTGAGAGGCAGAGGCAGGAAGACCACCATAAATTCCAGGCCAGTCTGGGCTACATAAGTGAGTTCAAGGCCAGCCTGAACTACATAGGAAGACCCTCTCTTGGTTCACTTCCAAATAAAGTTATTTGTATATAGTCACCAAGTTTAATAAAAATACTATCAGTATCTTAACACATACCTTCTTTTAATCCAGATTTTCTGACTTCCTGTCTATCAGAGTGTTGTGCCTGGTTTTAGTTATCAAAACATTAAGAACCCACAAATAACTTTAATTAAATTGGAGGGATTGATAGGATTGAAAAATAAGTGTTTTTTTTTTTTTTCCTTAAAATGCTTTTTTTTATTACAGTATCATCCAAAAGGTGCTAGGATTGATGTTTCTATCAATGAATGTTATGATGGCTCCTATGCAGGAAATCCTCAGGATATTCATCGCCAACCTGGATTTGCTTTTAGTCGCAATGGACCAGTAAAGAGAACACCTATCACACATATTCTTGTGTGCAGGTAGGTAAAAAGGTTATACAACAAAATTATATTGTCTGGCTCTTCTGGATGATGTTAGAGGAACAGAGGCAAGACAGACAAAATTACTAGGTAGAAGGAAATCATTGTATCAGTATTAGTTGAGTTCCTGGAGTGGTATTGTGTCTTCTAAAGTGCCTGTTGCTCTAGGGCTTTTTCCATTTCCTCCTTGTACTTTTTGTACTAGGGTTTGAATCCACAGAGAACTGAGCTATAGTTATATTCCTCAGACACTGCCCCCTCTCCCTTTTTCTGTGCGACAGCATCTTGCCATGTAATATAGACCAGCCTTGAACTCACTGTGTAGTCCAGGCTAACCTGAAGGGCTGGGGAGATGGCTCAGAAGAATAAACGCTTCCCTGGCAAGTGCAGGGGCCTGAGTTCAATCGCCAGTTCTGCCAAAAAAGAAAATAGCCAGGCTGACCTGAAGCTTGTGATCTTTCTGCCTTAGTGTCCTGTGTTCTGGGATTACAGGTGTGTAATCTCCTTTTTTTTTTTTTTTTTTTCAAGTTTTAACTGTTTCTGTCACTGTTGCTGTAGTTGTTAGGGATATTGAAGAACTCTCCCAGTGAAAGTTTCTGTATGGATACCTTGGTAGGAAACTGCAAGAAAGGGATATATTCTAGTTGCATATGGTGAAGGATAAAGACTTGTATCTCTATCACATGATAGTGTAGTGTTAATACCTTGTACTGCTTTCTGTTAGACTTTACAGTCAGTGATGGTGTACTCACAGAAACAGATTTGACTGTTAAGATTAAAGTTTTATCTCTTCTCTCTTTTGTGGGAGGGGTATACTGAGAATTGAACTCAGGCCTCGCCCTTGCCAGGCACTGTGCCTCTGAGATACATCCCCAGCCGTAAAGTTTAATCTTTGTAAAACTGAAAAAAATAAAATTTGGGATTTGTTGTATATGTGGAGTAGTACGGTTTTCTGCTTTGTAAGCATGCATGTGTTAGAGTACATAATTTTGACATTCAAAATTATGGCACTGTGGATTCACTCCAAGGGCACTGTTAGCACTAGCACACATCTCCAGTCCTTCCTCTTTCTTTTGTCTTGCTCTCTCACTCTCACCTTTCTTCCCCTCTCCCTGTCCTCATTTTGAGACATGGTTTAACTAACATTGCTTAGGCTGGCCTAAAACTACTTTCAGCGCTAAACTGTGCAACTACACCTTACCAGACAAAGTTTTTATATGTGTTTTCCTGTCTTTTTGTGCCTAAACTAGCATTTTATTCCTTTTAATCATTTTTAACCTTTGCGTTTCTCTGTTTTGCAAGTTTTTCATACCCAGAAAGAGTTTTATCTTTAAAACTTTAGGGCTTTATTTTTGCTGGTCATGGTGGTGCATGCCTATAATTCCAGCAGACCAGGGGCTGAGGCAGTAGGATTGGTAAAAATTTGAGGTTAGCCTAAACCACATAGCAAAACTCTTGTCTCAAATAATTAAAAAATTTTTTTGATTGTTTTTTGTTTTTCTTAAAGTTCTGTTTTGTGGAGGCAGTGACCGACTATGTAGTTCAGGTTGGCCTTGAGTGGTGATTCTTATGCCTGTGAAGTGCTAGCATTATAGGTTTGCAACACCATTCCTGGTTTAAA